TCTCAGCCAGGGTGTTAGCTACCCTTGTACATGGTTACTTGAGACCCTCCTCTCAGCGTGTTGCTGAAACCCTCTGCCAGTGTACTTCTGAAGAGCGGATGTGGGGTATTGGTACATCGTGATGGTACAGTGTGTGGACCGGCCCATGTTGAGGAAAGTGAATTCGCCGGTGAATTACGATTGAGTGTGGGCGACGTGTACCTGAACGCAGTGGTCTTGCCGGGATTTGATGAACACAGCAAATCTATTGAGTGTCCTGAGGGAAAGTGATACAGTGTAAATATGTGTAGCAATACTTAGAGATATAATATATTGGTGAAGGTGTAATTGTGTATTGTTTATCTCCCCTTTATTCTTTGCACTACTACTTGTCACATCCAGTTCTTGAAAGCTTACCATCGACTTGGGGTAGGATCAAGAAGAGGGGGTTATAGGACACGTTAACAGAAAGAATCCGATTACTGGCCGAAGCTGGCAGCAACATAGTTATATACTGAAGTTACAGAATCCGGTCCGCGGTTTGAGATTCCTTTTGATATTCGAATGATAAACGAGAGAGAAGAAAGAGTGTACTCACCACATGAACACCAGCAGACGCAACGAGACTGCCAAAGTGTTCATCAGTGATTATCGCTAACATCCGTTAGTCTATTGCTACGATAGTTATCTGGATTAATTAAGCAAGTATTTCCCAGTGTGCTGTTGATTTCTCCGAGGGAGATAATTGTATTTTCGCCCCTTTCTGTGGACTTGAGTGCTTTACCGCCGTCACCGTGTTCCCCCTTCCCTCACCACGTGTGTCTCACCCCCGTGTGCCCACACTTGCTATCACCACCCTGTGTGAGGTTGTTGCCTGCCACCCAGCTGTTTAAATGCACTACCCAGTACCTGTATAATACGTCGCACCAACACTTGGTTTCACACCACGTGTTTTGCATCTTAACCACGTGCGGTCCTACCTGAGTCGACACCAGCCACTCTGTGTGTGATCATTACTCAGTTTCTGAGTAATGTCTGAGTATGGTCTGCGTACGGTCTTTACTCATATGTAACCACGTGGGGTCCATGTGAAAGTCTACACCTTTCGCTTGTGTGATTATTGCTAGCAAGTTACCTGAGTGTTGCACCTGCCACCCAGTGTCAGTGGTCATTTCTCGCAGGATTACCACCTACAGAGATTGGAGGAGAATTTCATCAAAGCATCAACAAATTGTACATTGTTTTTATGCAAGGTTATGGGGAGCCGGTCGGCCGAGCGGACAGCACGCTGGACTTGTGATCCTGTGGTCCTGGGTTCGATCCCAGGCGCCGGCGAGAAACATTGGGCAGAGTTTCTTTCACCCTATGCCCCTGTTACCTAGCAGTAAAATAGGTACCTGGGTGTTAGTCAGCTGTCACGGGCTGCTTCCTGGGGGTGGAGGCCTGGTCGAGGACCGGGCCGCGGGGACACTAAAACCCCGAAATCATCTCAAGATAGATCTCAAGGAAGGTTTTGATTGACAAGGCCGGTCTTTAAGTGGGTACAGATATTTCCTTTAATTTTTTATTTGTGTATACTCTTGTGTTAATCTGATATCAACCAGCCGACTAGATGTTGTCTCGTAAAGCCTTCAATAGGTGTGAGAAATAAGTCAAGGAAACACTGAGGCAGTTGTCGATTATAGCCGTCTGTGTGACTCCTATATTCGTCACTGGGTGAGTATATTTGTTACACACTTACCACACATTTAGTAATTGAAATACTGATTGTACATTTGACGAAACGGTTTTGATAATACTGTTTCATTATATGTGATTTCCGTGTCTGTGTGATATTGTGTTTTCTATCTCTTTCCAAAGGTCCAGTGAAAGAGTAAGTCACTGAGTACTGTGTCTTAGTGAGAGGTATAATTATTATTGTTACATAATATAGGTGTTACATAATATAATTATAGGTTATATTATATTATATTATATTAATTATAGGTATAGGTTATATAGGTGTTACATATAATTATTATTGTAACATAATATATTACATACATAATTGAGGTATAATTATTATTATTATAGGTATAATTATTATTGAGATTATTGTGTTGTGAGTTGTAGTGTCAGGTGACACCTTGTTCTGGCTCGTTTGTGTGACGAGGTAATTAACCTTATTCTGGTTTGTTATCTGTCTGAGTAACAGATTGTTAACGTAATTATTCAACTTCATTAACTGTCTGTGTGACAGAAGATTAAAGTACAGAGTTACTGTTTTATTGGTTAACTGGATGCTGGACTGGACTTTAATTGGTCATCCTTCGCTGGACGCGTTCTAGTGAATTTATGTCTATTCTATAGTATGGCGTCCAGAACTGAACTGCATAATGTAAATGGGGCCTAACAAGAGCAAGATATGGTTAAGAATAACACCAGGTGTCTTATTACTAATGCTAAGGGGCATAACTGGCCGACCCCTCACAGTGTTCAAGAGAGAACTGGATAAGCACCTCCAAAGGATACCTGATCAACCAGGCTGTGACTCGTACGTCAGGCTGCGAGCAGCCGCGTCCAACAGCCTGGTTGATCAGTCCGGCAACCAGGAGGCCTGGTCGACGACCGGGCCGCGGGGACGCTAAGCCCCGGAAGCACCTCAAGGTAACCTCAAGGTATGCTACGAGAAATAAATCCCAATGTTATATTTGCCTTATTACGAATATTTATGCATTGATTTTCAGCTTTAAATTCTTACTAATCATAACTCTCAGTCCCTTCGCAATTTCAACACCTTTTGTTAAGTTGTTGCCGCCGGAGGCGGATAGTTTATTGTGCACCCAATACTCATCCTGTAAGGGGATAGCACAAAAAGCCTTACAGACGGCACAAAAGGTCTTTATCAGACCTCATCTTAGATTATTTCATACACAATCTCATCTATCCTTCACACCTTATAATTACAATGTTACACCTTATAGTTACAGAGAATGTTCTATTTCAAGAGCTATATATAACACAGTAAGTCAGACTCAGTAAGTTTAGACTCCCTTGCTTCTGGCAAACCTCCTGGCAAAGATGGCATTCCTGCTGAGACCTTGAAGTGCTGCAGAGGTAGCCTGCTCATGGAGCTGCATGAAATTCTCTGCCTCTGCTGGGAAGGAGAGGTGCCACAGGACATGAGGGATGCCAACATCGTCACGCTGTATAAGAATAAAGGTGACAGAGGCGACTGCAACAACTACCGTGGAATCTCCCTCCTCAGTAATGTCAGAAAGCTGTTTGCTCGAGTCGCATTGAAGAGGCTCCAAGTACTTGCAGAAAGAGTCTATTTAGAATCACAACGCGGCTTCAGAGCTGACAGGTCCACCATCGACATGGTCTTTTTCCTCAGACAACTGCAGGGAACAGAGGCAGCCACTCTTCGTAGCCTTCATAGATCTGACGAAGGCCTTCGACCTCGTCAGCAGAGATGGCCTGTTAAAGATCCTCCCCAAGACCGGATGCCCACCCAGGCTCCTCAGCATCATCAGATCTTTCCATGAGAACATGAGGGGCACCGTGGTCTTTGATGGCCTAACATCAGACGCCTTTGACATCCGAAGTGGAGTAAAACAGAGCTGCGTACTGGCTCCAAACCTATTCGGGATTTTCTTTGCAGTTATGCTGCAGCACGCCTTCGGATCTGTCACGGCGGGCCTTTACCTCCGGACCAGGTCGGATGGAAAGCTCTTTAACCTCGCCAGGCTGAGAGCCAAGACGAAGGTTCGGTTGAGGTGTCTGCGCGACTTCCTGCCCACTCAGCCGAAGACCTCCAACGGCTCATGACCCGCTTCAGCGTGGCCTGTCAGGCTTTCGGACTCACCATCAGCCTGAAGAAAACGCAAGTCATGGGACAAGGAGTGGACTCCCCACCTGACATCGGCATCTCTGATTCCAAACTTGAAGTCGTTCACGACTTCGTGTACCTGGGCTCCACAATCTCTGACTCCCTCTCTCTTGATACGGAGCTAAACAAACGCATCGGTAAGGCATCTACTACAATGTCTAGACTGACAAAGAGAGTGTGGGCCAACAATAGGCTGACTGAGTATACTAAGATTCAGGTTTACAGATCCTGTGTCCTGAGCACTCTCCTTTATGGCAGTGAGTCTTGGACACTCCGTGCCCGTCAGGAAAGACAGCTGAATGCCTACCACATGCGCTGCCTCAGACACGTCTTGGACAACACCTGGCAGGACAAGGTGACAAACAACAACGTCTTGGGGAGAGCAAGAATCACCAGCATGTACACAATGCTGAAACAGAGACGAATGCGCTGGCTCGGGCACGTGGTACGAATGGGCGACGGCAGGATCACCAAGGATCTCCTGTATGGAGAGCTGATGCAGGGAAAGCGTCCAACAGGCAAGCCCCAGCTACGGTACAAAGACGTATGCAAGAGGGACCTGAAAGCCATGGACATAGCCATCTTGCTACGTGGGAAACACTGGCTGCAGACCGTTCAGCCTGGGGGCAGTCTGTTCAAAGAGGTCTCTCCAAGTTCGAGGAGGCACTTGCCAAGAAATCGGAGGCAGAGAGACAGAGAAGGAAAGCCGGTAGTCAGGAAGACAGACCAGAATCGGACTTCGTTTGTGCTCGGTGTGGGATGGACTGCCACTCTCGGATTGGCCTCATCAGTCACACCAGACGCTGCACCAGGATTGACAACCAGGGCGCAACTCCATAGTCTCCCGAGACTGAAGGATGCCTACTACTACTATATGACAAAGTAAGTCATACATATATATATATATATAACATACATTGATGGTAGGTCTTATCGCTAACACAGAATTATTTGAACACTTGAGAGTCATTGGGAAGCTACTGTTTATTTTTAGTCTTCATAATACACTACTTGTTTCTTAATCTCATATGTTGTTTATCTACTGGAAGCGAAATATGGATACAGTGCAAGGATTTCAGGTATTTCATACTTGGTAATAAGATAGGTTGCCATATCACACAGCATGGGCTAAACAAGTATTGACGCCTACGTTTTGTTCATGGCTTTTTGGAGTCCGTCAGCATGCGAGGCTACGAGATATGTGCGGTCAGCCAGCTCCCTGAACATAGTAGAGTTGGAATGCTTGTAGTAGTTGTAGAAGTAGTCTTGAAGGCTACGGTGCATAGCCACTCTGTGAAGAAACAATTAAGGTATTACAAGTTTTGTGATCAGGAAAGTGATCTTTAGTCTACATGGAGTAAATAATATTTCTATGGTGCGATCTTTATTTTGCTTGCATGAGAAACTTATACTTTTTTTATTATACTTTATTAAGGCATTCCTCCCTAGATATGCAATGAAAAAGATATGGCACTTGTACAAAGGGTCAAACAAGATCGGAAATAGGGATGGGATCACTAACATAGTGTCTATTTCTTAGTCTTCATGAACAGTCTCTCCCAAATTTAATTATCTAATCTTAGTAATTTTTACAAACTGGAACTCGGGGAACTGTGTACCAAGTGGTGCGGAACACCTTCAGGGAACTGTGTACCAAGTGGTGCGGAACACCTTCAGGGAACTGTGTACCAAGTGGTACGGAACACCTTCAGGGAACTCTGTACCAAGTGGTACGGAACACCTTCAGGGAACTCTGTACCAAGTGGTACGGAACACCTTCAGGGAACTCTGTACCAAGTGGTACGGAACACCTTCAGGGAACTCTGTACCAAGTGGTACGGAACACCTTCAGGGAACTCTGTACCAAGTGGTACGGAACACCTTCAGGGAACTCTGTACCAAGTGGTACGGAACACCTTCAGGGAACTCTGTACCAAGTAGTACGGAACACCTTCAGGGAACTCTGTACCAAGTGGTACGGAACACCTTCAGGGAACTCTGTACCAAGTGCTACGGAACACCTTCAGGGAACTGTGTACCAAGTGGTACGGAACACCTTCAGGGAACTCTGTACCAAGTGCTACGGAACACCTTCAGGGAACTCTGTACCAAGTGGTACGGAACACCTTCAGGGAACTCTGTACCAAGTGCTACGGAACACCTTCAGGGAACTGTGTACCAAGTGGTACGGAACACCTTCAGGGAACTCTGTACCAAGTGCTACGGAACACCTTCAGGGAACTGTGTACCAAGTGGTACGGAACACCTTCAGGGAACTCTGTACCAAGTGCTACGGAACACCTTCAGGGAACTCTGTACCAAGTGGTACGGAACACCTTCAGGGAACTGTGTACCAAGTGGTACGGAACACCTTCAGGGAACTCTGTACCAAGTGCTACGGAACACCTTCAGGGAACTCTGTACCAAGTGCTACGGAACACCTTCAGGGAACTCTGTACCAAGTGGTACGGAACACCTTCAGGGAACTCTGTACCAAGTGGTACGGAACACCTTCAGGGAACTCTGTACCAAGTGCTACGGAACACCTTCAGGGAACTGTGTACCAAGTGGTGCGGACACAGGGAACTGTGTACCAAGTGGTACGGAACACCTTCAGGGAACTGTGTACCAAGTGGTGCGGAACACCTTCAGGGAACTCTGTACCAAGTGCTACGGAACACCTTCAGGGAACTGTGTACCAAGTGGTGCGGAACACCTTCAGGGAACTCTGTACCAAGTGGTGCGGAACACCTTCAGGGAACTCTGTACCAAGTGGTGCGGAACACCTTCAGGGAACTGTGTACCAAGTGGTGCGGAACACCTTCAGGGAACTGTGTACCAAGTGGTGCGGAACACCTTCAGGGAACTCTGTACCAAGTGGTGCGGAACACCTTCAGGGAACTCTGTACCAAGTGGTGCGGAACACCTTCAGGGAACTGTGTACCAAGTGGTGCGGAACACCTTCAAAACTTTCTAAATATTTTCTAATAAAAGAAAACGAAAAATTTGTTAGCAATAACGATGTTAAGTTTTCTTCCTGGTCCGATGTGACTCCTTAATTTACCTAACAACGAGTTAACTAATTTATAAAGTTTGATCATATCGCTGCCAGCATCGTTAATCGTATTCAAAATATATTCTTTTTTCTTTCATACTATCAGGTATATCATATCGTTTCAAAGTCTTCACGTAATTTTGATAAAAAAATAAGTTTTAAATTTCTTTCACCTAACTTTTGCTTGCCTTCTCATTTTCCTTGCCTTCTACGCTCAGTCGAACCATAAAGATTTTTTCAGTCCTTAATGACATTTTTTTCCCACTGGACACACGTCATCATATTCATTGCGTAGTACGCCATTGAACAAAGGAATCTCAAATATTCTCTTCTAATAGGTGCAACACCAAAGTTTCACGAGCCACAACACTCGCTCAACACCCTCACGACAAACACACACAGAGGGAGCAACCAAGCAGCAACCTGAAAGAAAACTACAGCAAATACACGACCAACCAAAACAACGTAGGATAATACACCACATTACGAATCACAGAAACAAAAACGAAATCAAAGACGGTCATGGGCCTACCCACCCCAATCAGCTTGTAGGTGATGAGCCCCCCACCAGAGTGGACAATACCCCCTCCATCCCCATGATCCACCACGGGCGAGGCGCCAAGTCCACGAGGCTCTTCTGCACCCTTTTGCAGTGTCAGCATAAAAGAAATACCATCTGCTGATTATCCTCTAAAATTCTCCTAATTCGATCGTCTGATGCAGTACTATGAATATCGCCACTATTGGGAGAGGCCCCGTCGCAACATCTCCCACCCAACACACCGAGGAAACAGTTAAGGTTGCACGATCAACATCATAGCACCTAGGCACTTCCAGGGCAACCACCGCACGGAGAGAAACAACCAGAGGAGCCCTGACACCCGCTACATCAACTTGCATGGAAGGCGCATCTACCATCCTATGCTAAGAACCACCAACTCAATGCCTACGGTTCGGTGAGGAGGACCATTGTCATCCAGGTTAACAGTCTTCTCAGCCGGATGGAGCATCGGCCACCTTTAATGCTGACTTATCATCATTCGCAAAACAATCAACGGCAACTGGAATATCATTGGCATCAGACCACATCCACCACTTACCTCACCAACATCCACCACCTACCTCACCAACATCCACCACCTACCTCACCAACATCCACCACCTACCTCACCAACATCCACCACCTCCCTCACCAACATCCACCACCTACCTCACCAACATCCACCACCTACCTCACCAACATCCACCACCTACCTCACCAACATCCACCACCTCCCTCACCAACATCCACCACCTACCTCACCACCTCCTACCTCACCACCACCTACCTCTCACCAACATCCACCACCTACCCACCAACATCCACCACCTACCTCACCAACATCCACCACCTCCCTCACCAACATCCATCACCTCCCCAACGGGAAGACGCCACACAACAATCCGAGCGCAGAAGCTCCAGACCTCCATTACCACCTGACACAGCAACAGAACACACACCACCACCTGACACAGCAACAGGACACACACCACCACCTGACACAGCAACAAGAAACACACCACCACCTGTCACAGCAACAGGACACACACCACCACCTGTCACATCAACAAGAAACACACCACCACCTGTCACAGCAACAAGACACACACCACCACCTGTCACAGCAACAGGACACACACCACCACCTGACACAGCAACAGGACACACACCACCACCTGTCACAGCAACAGGACACACACCACCACCTGACACAGCAACAGGACACACCACCACCACCTGACACAGCAACAGCAACAAGACACAGCACACCACCACCTGACACAGCAACAAGAAACACACCACCACCTGACACAGCAACAAGAAACACACCACCACCTGACACAGCAACAGGACACACACCACCACCTGACACAGCAACAGGACACACCTCCACCACCTGACACAGCAACAGGACACACACCACCACCTGTCACAGCAACAGGACACACACCACCACCTGACACAGCAACAGGACACACCTCCACCACCTGACACAGCAACAAGAAACACACCACCACCTGACACAGCAACAAGACACACACCACCACCTGACACAGCAACAGGACACACACCACCACCTGTCACAGCAACAGGACACACACCACCACCTGACACAGCAACAAGAAACACACCACCACCTTAACCATCCTTAAACTAACCTGATATTCCTGGATCTGAACTCCATTTTTACATCATATTTTTCTTAAAGGGATATGTTTCATAATATGTATGCAATTACCATAACTCAATTTTTCCTTCGCCTACCTTATGGCTAAGTTTTTTTTAGATCCCTCCTTATAATTCACCCTATATTATAAGAGTTAATTAGGGATATGTTAGGATAATATGTGAAAATATATTCCTACCTTTAATATATTTGATAATTTTGGTTTATGGGGGGGGGGGAGGGTTCTAAAAAAAACTTAGTTATGTGGTAGGTTCAGGAAAAATTTGGTTATGGTAATTGCATAAATATAGTGAATCATATCCCTTTCTGAAAATATAATGTAAAAATGGAGTTCAGATCCAGGTACATCAGGTTAGGTTAAGGATGGTTAAGTAGAGCTTATGTAGAGAAAATACCCACTTTCTCTACATGTAGGATTAGGATAAGTTAGTGTGGGGTTAGTTTAGACTAGGTTGAGTTAGGATAGGATAGTATTCTGGCTATGATAGGTAAGGGTCTGCTGGGGTATGGGTAGGTTTGGATAGATTGTGTTGGGTCAGAGCAGGATTTGGATAGGATATTGTAGGATTAGTTTAGACTAGAATAGGGTAATTTACGTAATATTTTTCGGAGTTGCTCGAATGATATGTTAATCTCATTGATTGTTATGCCTAAATATTATAGGTATTATCAACTGAACGATTAGTGGGACGAATGCACACTTTATTTATTGCTAGAATATGACCCATATTTATCAGAAAGGTTTAGGGTTCAACTAATTACACCCGACTAAATAGAGGTGTCATTTTTATAAAATAGGAGTATTAACTGTAGGTGTATATATGTACGTATGTATATATTGTGAGGCCATCTGGAATAGAGCAGTAACTACTCTGGCTGGTGTTGTTCCAAACGCACATTAATAAAAAAAGAGAAAACTAAATAAAATTAAGTTGCTTGGGTCCTCTACAGTGTATCAATGGTGGTAAGAGACAAAGAGAATAAAAGCATTAAACATTTAATAAAACA